TGCAAAAAATATTAGATTAGGTTTTTCCTCAGAAGTCCTGCTCAACGTCCTTACTTTTAACACTCTTTTAAAATCATCGGTCGTATGAACCACATAAGACGCACGGACTTGGAAATCACATGACTTGAACCTCATATGTGTTGCGCCGGACAGGCAATGGGTTAAAGTTCGCTTTCGATTGGTTACAAATGAAAATATGCAAAATTTCCAACATCTCATGAACAAAGTATAGATAAGAGAATCTCCTGAAAGGATTATAGCCTAACAGAGATACTCTCATCAAACAGGACCAAATGAGGTTTATTTTTCAACATAGTCCCCCACTTGCTGTCCACTCCCTTTTTCCATCAGTGTTGCAATGCTTGGATCACATTGGTGAAGAAGTTTTCATCCTATTGGTCAAAAAGTCATCAACAGCAGATATGACGTCATCATCACTGCAATACTGATTTTATGTGTTTTTTCATGTTGGGGAACAGATGATAGTCAGAATGGGGCCAAATCAGGAGTACAGGGAGAGTCATCAACCAGTGCAAAGATACAGTCATGCACAGCAGCCATTGAAATCAAGTACATGTATACTGGAGCATTGTCCCCTTTCATCAATTTTCCCGGGCATTTGGTCTTGATAGTCTTTCATAACTGCCTCGGTATGTTGGCATAGTACTCTCCATTGATGGTGTGGCCCTTTTGAAGATAGTCAATAAACACAATGCATTTTGCATAAAAAAAAACTGAGGCCATCACCTTCCCTGCAGATGAAACAATCTTGGCCTTCTTTGGAGCAGGTGGGAGGGTTGTTTGTCGATTACATGTAGAACAGAAGACTAATCAACATTGGCTAAAATCAAAGTGCCCCTAACCAAATCATCACTGACAGCAACCATTGAAATCAAGAACGTGTGTGCTGGAGAATTTTCCTGAACAAGACCCATTTCGTCAGTTTCCGTGGGCGTTTCGTAATAACCTCAGCAAGTTGTTATAGTACTCTCCAGTGATGGTGCAACCCAGTGGGAGATAGTCAATAAATATATTGCCTCTTGCATCCCGAGATAACTAAGGCCACCAACTCCCCTGCAGATGAAACATTGGCCTTATTTAGAGCAGGTTCTACTGCATGGATTGTCTCTTTGTCTCTGGCTCAAAGTGATGAACCCAACACTCAAGGAAAGCAGCTGGATCTGCCTCGAGCAATGTCAGATTTTCCAGTGATGTGATCAGCCTGGTGTGCTTTTCATCAAGTGTCAGAAGACGTGGCAGCCATCGTCATACCAAGATCTTTTGCAGAATATTCTCTCATGGGGAAATGCTAATTGCATTGGCTATTTGATTTATAGTCAATGTTTACCTCGCTGGAGGCAGTTGCAGGATGTCCAAACTTCGGATCATTTCCAAGATTCTCCTCCCACCCCCAAATAAACTCAGCTTGCCACAATTGCATTTATGAAAAGCTGGAGTGTCAACCCCAATGTATCAAGCATGTCAGCATGAATGTCATAGAGGCTTTTTCAGTACAATGGCAAATTGGGGCCATTTTAAAGAGAAGTCGCCACAAGTTAGTTTTGAAGCCTTTTTGAAAAGTCAGTTATCAGTTTACACAGAGAATGAGGTTATTATTAAGAAGAGTTGAAATGAATGCATGAAAGATTTCACAGTTCTAGCATCACTCCTTCATAGTCAGCCTATGAACTATTCATCCCACCATAGTACCTGGAAAGAAACAATGCGGTTATTAATAAGAAGAGTTGAAATGAATGCATGCAAGGTTTCACAACTCTAGCATCACTCCTTTATAGTCATCCAAGGAACTTTTCAGCCCATCCACGTACCTGGAAAGAAACAATGCATTTATTCATAAGAAGGTTTTAAATGAATGCACGCAAGATTTCACAGCTATAGCATCACTCCTTCATAGTCAGGCTGTGAACTTTTCAGCCCACCCTCGTACCTGGAAAGAAACAAATCTGTTATTAATAAGAAAAGATCAAATTAAAGCCTTGAAGATTTCACGGCTCTATCATTAAGCCTTTATTTTCAGCCTATGAACATTTCAGCCCACCCTCGTACCTGGAAAGAAAGAATGCGGTTATTAATATGAAGAGTTGAAATGAATACATGCAAGATTTCACAGCTCAAGCATTACTCCTTCATAGTCAGCCTATGAACTTTTTAGCCCACTCTGAGGTGTCCTTTTACACTGACTCTAGGAATATATAATTTAACTGATATCTTTTCATATATTGTTTGCCAAAGCGATATTGGGAACATTTTGATTAAATTTTGCGTGTGATTGATTTTTGGAAAATTTCAATATCCTTAAATATTTTCACTTTACAAAATTACTTTTCATAATTACAAGTTTGGTACAAGAAGAAATATGGCGTCAGTTTAAACTGATTCTACTATCAATTCACACTTATTGATGTTACTTTCATAGACGTAGACTTATATCCTGATTCCTGTTCAAGATTCTGTTTCCTGTTTCTTTTTATTCCCTTACGTCTTAGTGGCATTATCTTACTTGACACCGACATTCAGGCACACACATACATACACACACAAACGAATATACATTGTAATATAATCCAAATCCTATGGTCAAACTAGAATCATGATACACTTACGCGTATAAATTTACAAACGAACGATACTTTTCCAGAGAAAATGTATGTGAAGTCTGCTTAAGCAATGTTATAAAAAAGAAGAAAAGAAAGGAGTGAAAAAATGAAGGAAGGAATAAAGTCAGGAAGAATAAAACAAGTATGGAATCACAAAAGAAAGAAGGAAGGAATAAAGAAGGAAGGAATAAAGAAGAATTAAAAAGAATGAAATTAGGAAAGAAAGAATGAATGAAGGAAGAAAGGAAGGAAGGAATAAAATAAAGCGGAATAAAAAATTATGCCAACACGAATGAAAAAAATGGAAGGGAAGAAGGAAGGGAGGAAAAAAGGGAGACAGGAAGGGAGAAAGGAAGGAAGGAAGGAAGACCAGAAGGAAGGGAGGAAAAAAGGGAGAAAGGAAGGAAGGAAGGAAGGAAGGAAGTAAGGAAGGAAGGAAGGAAGGAAGGAAGGAAGGAAGGAAGGAATAAAGTAAAGCGGAATAAACAATTATGCAATCACGAATGAAAAAAGGAAGGAAGTGAGGAAGAAAGGAAGGAAGGAAGACAGGAAGGAAAGAAGGGAGGAAAGAATGAAGGAAGGGAGGAAGGAAGTTAGGAATAAAGTAATGCGGAATAAACAATTATGCAAACATGAATGAAAAATAGGAAGGGAGGTAGGAAAAAGAAAGGAAGGAAGTAGGACAAGTAGGCAGGAAGGAAAGAAGAGAGGAAGAAAGGAAGGAAGATAGGCAGGAAGGAAGGGAGGAAGGAAGGAAGGAAGGAAGGAAGGAAGGAAGGAAGGACGGAAAGGAGGAAGGAAGGAATAAAGTAAAGAAAGTAAGAAAAAGAAAGAAAGACAGGAAGGAAGAAAGAAAGAAAAAAGAAAGGATGGATGGAAGAAAGAAAGACGCAATGAAGAAAGAAAGAATGTTAGGAAAGAAAAGAAGAATAAAATAATAAAGAAGTATGCAATCACGAAAGAAAGAAAGAATGGATGAAGGAAGGGCAAAAAAAGAAAGAAAGACAGAAAGAAAGAAAGGGAGGAAGGAAGGAAGGAATTATAAACAAGGATGCAATCACGAAAATAAGAAAAAGAAAGAAAGGAAGAAAGAATGAAAGGAAGGAAGGAAGAAAGAAAGAAAGAAAGAAAGAAAGTAAGAAAGGAAGAAAGAAAGAGAGGGTGGGTGGGAGGATGGAAGGATGTATAAAGAAGGATGCAATCACGAAAGTTTGAAAGAAAGAAAGAATGAAAGGAAGAAAGAAAGACGCAGTTAAGAAAGAAAGAATATTAGGGAAGAATGTTAAAAAGAAAGAATAAAGAAGGATGCGAATCACGAAAGAAAAAAGAGAAAGAAAGGAAGGAAAGAACGAAAGATAGGGAGGAAGAAAAAATGAAAGAAGGAAAGAACGAAAGAAAGGGAGGAAGAAAAAATGAAAGAAGGAAAGAACGAAAGAAAGGGAGGAAGAAAAAATGAAAGAAGGAAAGAACGAAAGAAAGGGAGGAAGAAAGAATGAAAGAAGGAAAGAACGAAAGAAAGGGAGGAAGAAAGAAAGGCACAATCAAGAAAGAAAGAATGTTAGGTAAAGAAGAAAGAAAGAATAAATAAGGATGCAATCACTAAAGAAAGAAAAAAGGAAGAAAGAAAGAAAGAAAGAAAGAGAGGGTGGGTGGGAGGATGGAAGGATGTCTAAAGAAGGATGCAATCACGAAAGTTTGAAAGAAAGAAAGAATGAAAGGAAGAAAGAAAGAGTGGAATCAAGAAAGAAAAATGTTAGGAAAGAAAGGAAGAAAAAAGAATAAATAGGGATGAAATCACGAAAGAAAGAAAGAACGAAAGAATAAAAGAAAGAATGAAAGAAAGGGAGAAACAAAGAAAGACAGGAAGAGAGGAAGGAAGGAATTATAAACACGGTTGCAATCACGAAAGTAAGAAAAAGAAAGAAAGAAAGACAGGAAAGAAAAAAGACAAAAGAAAGAGTGGAAAAAAGAAAGACGCAATGAAGAAAGAAAGAATGTTAGGAAAGAAAGGAAGGAAAAAGAAAGAATAAAGAAGGATGCACTCACGAAAGAAAGAAAGAAAGAAAGAAAGAAAGAAAGAAAGAAAGAGTGGATGAAGGAAGGGACAAAAAAGACAGAAAGAAAGGGTGGGAGGATGGAAGGAAGTATAAAGGAGGATGCAGTCACGAAAGTTAGAAACAATTAAGTAAGAAAGAATATTAGGGAAGAATGTTAAAAAGAAAGAATAAAGACGGATGCAATCACGAAAGAAAAAAGAGAAAGAAAGGAAGGAAGAAGAATGAAAGAAGGAAAGAACGAAAGAAAGGGATGAAGAAAGAAAGGCGCAATCAAGAAAGAAAGAATGTTAGGTAAGGAAGAAAGAAAGAATAAATAAGGATGCAATCACAAAAGAAAGAAAGAAAGAAAGAAAGAAAGAAAGACAGAAAAAAGGAAGGAAGGAAAGAAGGAAGGAAGGAAGGAAGTTAGAAAAAAGTGTGACTGAAAGGAAGACGCAATAAAAAAGAATATTAGGAAAGAAAGGGAGAAATAAAGAATAAAGAAGGATGTAATCACGAAAGAAAGAAAGAAAGAAAGGAGGAGTGGGAGGTTGGAAGGAAAGAAGGAAGTTTAAACAAGGATGCAATCAGGAAAGTTTGAAAGAAAGGAAGGAAGAAAGAAAGAAAGAAAGAAAGAAAGAAAGAAAGAAAGGTAGAACGAAAGAAAGAAAGGGATGAAGAAAGGAAGTTTAAATAAGGATGCAATCAAGAAATTAAGTAAAATAATGAAAGAAAGAAAGTTTAGAAGAAAGAAAGACGCAGCCAGAAAGAATGTTAGAAAAGAAAGGAAGAAAGAAAGAATAAAGAAGGATGCAATCACGAAAGAAAAAAAGAACGAAAGAAAGAAATCAAGTAATAGAGATAAAAGAAAGAAAAAAGAAAGACGGATGCTGTAATGGAATAAACGAATAAAAAATGGCAAGAAAGAAACATAATATGGAAATGAAAATATTGAAAGAATGAAAAAAATAGTGAAAAATAAATAAAAAGATAAAGAAAGAAAGATTAAACAAAGATGCAATCGCGAATGAAATAAAAAAGACTGGAAAAAAAATGAAAGACTGAAGTAAAGAAAGAAAGAAAGAAAGAAAGAAAGAAAGAAAGAAAAAGGATGGACGCATTCAAGAAAGAAATAATAATAAGAAAGAATGATAAGAAAGAATGAAAGAAGGAAAGGGGGAAAGAAAGAAAGACTCATAAGAAAGAAAGAAAGAGAAACGAAAAAAAAGAAAGGAACAAAGAAAGAACAAGTACGCAATCAAGAAAAAAGAAAGAAAAAAGGTAGAAAGAAAGAAAGAATGATAAGAAAGAAGGACAAACTGAAAAAAAAATAACGAAGAAAGAAATAAAGAAAGAAAGAGAAAAAAGCCTGGAAAAATGAAAGAAAAGAAGCGGTAAAGAAAGACAGAAAGAAAACAATAATGCAATAAAGATATAAAGCAGGAAAGAAAGAAAGAATGAATGAAAGAAAGAAAGAATGAAATAAAGTAAGGATGCATTGAAGAAGATAAAAAGAAAGAAAGGAAAACAAAAAAAGAAGAAAAATGGAAGGAAGAGAAAAAGGCTGGAAAAATGACAATCGTCCGATTATTTATTCCTGAGTTCGCAAAAGAAAGAAATAATAAAAAATGTCTCCGATAAAAATATTCACTAAAGAAGAGAGAAAAGAGAAGAAAAAAAAAAGTCAGCTACAAGGTCAAGGTACCTCGGCATTTTCTAAACCCACTACAAGCAAACGTTACATGACTGAGCAAAGCTTGTAAAAATATCCCCGCCACTTCTTTTCGCTTCTCCAGTCGTTTCCTCGGGGCAGAGTTAATTTTTAAATTTAGACACTGAAATAGAAATTTAACGCTATTGTGGTTTTGTTTCTAATTAGAACTTTCCCCCCTTTATTCTGAGGTTCAATGTTTGCAGAAGGACTGAAATGGAAAGGCGGGAAGGAAAAAAAAAAAAGGAAGATGGAAAAAGCTGATATTTTTGAAAGAAGGTTGGACGCTTTTATTCGGTAAATAAACAAAAAAATCCGGAGAAAGAAGAGTTAGACAAGAAGAAGATGAGTTTGAATAAAAATCTTGAAAGACGACAAAGAGGAAAATGGGAGAGATCTGGTTGGCGGGAATGCGCAATTAGTAGAGTTGAAAGAGGAGTTCATGCTGACGAGATTAGCCGAGATCAGACGAGATTAGACGAGATTAACCGAGATTAGACGAGATCAGACGAGGTTAGACGAGATTAGTCGGGGTTAGACGAGATCAGACGAGATAAGGCGATAATAGTTGAGATTATACGAAATTATACAAAATTAGACAAGATCAGTCATTAGACATTAGCTGAGATCAAACTAGATTAGCCGAGATCAAACTAGATTAGCCGAGATCAAACTAGATTAGCCGAGATTAGACGATATCAGACGAGATTAGCCGAGATCAGACGAGATTAGACGAGATTAGACGAGATCAGCCGAGATTAGACATTAGCTGAGATCAGACGAGATTAGACGAGATCAGACGAGAAATAACGAGTTTGATAAAAAAGGACAAATAAAAATCTGAAAGAAAAGAAAGGAAAATAACAGAGGAAAATGGGAGGAAAGAAAAGAAAACGATAGCAAAAATAAAAGAAAAAGAAAGAAAAAGAAAGAAGAGGAGGAAACAAGATAAAAAAGATTTACTCGAATGAAAGCATGAAGGGTTGAAAAAAGAAAAATCAAAAGAAACAAGAAAGTAGGAGAAGATAAGGAAAAAGAAAAGAAAGAAGAAAGAAAACGTGACAGAAAGAAGGACAACATGTAGGCGGAAAAGAAAAAGAATGAAAGAAAGAAAGAAAGAAAGACTGGAAGAATGAATGAAAGAAAGAATGAACTAAAGTAAGAAAGATTGAAAGATTGGATGAAAGAAAGAAAAACTGGAGGAGTGAATGAAAGAAAAGAAAACTGGAAGAATGAAAGAAAGAAAGACCTGAAGAATGAATGAAAGAAAGACTTACAGAATGAATGAATGAAAGAAAGACTGAAAGAATAAATGAATGAAAGAAAGACTGAAAGAATGAATGAAAGAAAGAATGGAAGAAAGAATGAAAGAAAGTCTAAAATATTGAAGGAAAAAAGATAGACTGTAAGACCCCCCCCACACAAAAAAAAAAAAAAAAGAAGAAAAAAATATTACTTTTACAAACACTGGTAGGGGGTGTGAAACGGTAAAACCCAGGCAGGAATAGAATCTGAAAAAAACACACAAAATATTTCCTAATTCACAAACAACTGCTGGACATTTTTCACCTGTAAAAACGAAGGCTCGTCCGGGTCCGTAGGTTGGGGTGGGGGGTCACGAGTAGCAGCAGCTATGGAAACTTCCACACACTATTCAATTATTTCAATTCGTCTTATTAAAAACTGCTTTGTTTCATTCCAGGTACGAGGCTGGGCTGAAAAGTCCATAGGGTGACTATGAAGGTGTGATGCTAGAGCTGTGAAATCTTGCATGCATTCATTTCAACTCTTCTTATTAATAACTGCATTGTTTCTTTTCAGGTACGAGGGTGGGCTGAAAAGTTCATAGGCTGACTATGAAGGAGTAATGCTAGAGCTGTGAAATCTTGTATGCATTCATTTCAACTCTTCTTATTAATAACTGCATTGTTTCTTTCTAGGTAAATTCATATCTAACAGTTCATTTGCTTAATCAAGTAAGTTAACACCAGCAAATAAGATATCATCATCACTGTGATACTGGTTCACACCCAAATGAGTTTTACATGTGGGATTAGAATCCATAATCATACAAAGTAGCCATTGAAACCACGAGCATGCAAGTCAGCCTATGAACTTTTCAGCCCACCCTCGTACCTGGAAAGAAACAATGCAGTTATTAATAAGAAGAGTTGAAATGAATGCATGCAAGATTTCCCAGCTCTAGCATCACTCCTTCATAGTCAGCCTATGAACTTTTCAGCCCACCCTCGTACCTGGAAAGAAACAATGCAGTTATTAATAAGAAGAGTTGAAATGAATGCATGCAAGGTTTCACAGTTCTAGCATCACTCTTTCATAGTCAGCCTATGAACTTTTCAGCCCACCCTCGTACCTGGAAAGAAACATTGCAGTTGTTAATAAGAAGAGTTGAAATTAATGCATGCAAGGTTTCACAGTTCTAGCATCACTCTTTCATAGTCAGCCTATGAACTTTTCAGCCCACCCTCGTACCTGGAAAGAAACAATGCAGTTATTAATAAGAAGAGTTGAAATGAATGCATGCAAGATTTCACAGTTCTAGCATCACCCCTTCATAGTCAGCCTATGAACTTTTCAGCCCGCCCTCGTACCTGGAAAGAAACAATGCAGTTATTAATAAGAGATGAAATTAATGCATGCAAGATTTCACAGTTGTAGCATCACTCCTTCATAGTCAGCCTATGAACTTTTCGGTTCACCCTCTTAAAAGAAGTCAGGTCTAATACTTTTTCGTGTATTGAGCGGGCCGACATTTTCTGAGGCTACCAATTTTAGTTAGTCTGTCAGTATTCAAATCTTTGGTTTTTGTATGCTTTTTTTTTCAAAATATGAAGGTTCTCGAAACGGGCGCAACATAATCTTCCTAACTTTAATACATCTTGTGCCAGACTATCTTACGTAAATATCTATCGCCATGTGATCTTTCTTCGGATTATTGCATATTATGGAGGCCGTTGCGTGGGCCGCAGGCGTGTCTTCACACCAAACCACACCAATTAGAGCTTTTCCTTCTTGTAAATATTTTGGGACGTCGTTAAGAGTAAAGGGTGGTTGCTCGTGCAATGTGATTACCATTATTATTATTATTATTATTATTATTATTATCTGGTAGCCGCCCTGACTTCTATTTAAATATAACCACTACTTATTTGCTATCTCAATCCTAATCACCAGTTATGTTTTTAACGAGCTTGTCTAAATAAAGACCAAGATGTCTGACAGCTAATGATGAGCAAGGAGGAACTCACATGGATTGTGGGTATGGGGTCAGAATAAATTAGAGGTCAGGGGTTCAAATTCCGATGCCGTTCGGTATATGTAAGTGGCGTGAATGAGACGACTTGGAAAAGAAAATAACAAATAGTTCCAATTTTCATACGATTCAAAAACCAATTCCCAGTGCACTTAGCTGACAGGTAAACATTATAAAAATAATAAATAAATACATACATACATACATATATATATATATATATATATATATATATATATATATATTTATTTATTTATTTGAAAATTATAACAGAAATATGTTATAAAATCACTAGAAAAATAGCCATTTTGTTTCAATACTTCTGGTGTCTTATCAAATGATGGTGTTGAATATATAATACAAAAATATAAAGTGACACATTCAACACCATCACTTAATAAAACACCAGAAGTGTCGAAACAAAATGGCTATTATAATATATTTATGTTATAATTTTCGAATAAATAATTATATTTGCTCTACTCTGAATTGAGCACTATTTTAAGAATAGTATTTGTTGGTTATTGGAATTTATTCCGTATACACCAATTCTATACTTGTATATATATATATATATATATATATACACAAAGGGTGTTCCAATAACTTAGACCAATTTTAAATGTGAATTCCGTTTAAGGGTCTAATGATGTTTAAAGTTAAAATGTGTTAAAGTTATCGAAGCCCATTGGTTCAAAATAACACAGCAGCTCAGGCGAAGTTCAAACGTGGAGGCTAATTAACATAAGCCGTGGATGAATGAAGACTTGCATAAGAATTACCCAATACTCTGGAAAAATGTGAAGTTGCTCTTACTCGATTTTCCCATATCTTATTTGGTTGAATCTGGTTTCTGTTGGATGATCCATCTGCTGTCAAAACTCGAAATCGTTTGACGTCGAAAAAAGAAGCGATTTACATCTCTTTCTGACGGCTTCCAAGCCAAACATTAACAATTTGGCAGCCCTGTACTAGTCACAGGGATCCCATTGAAATCATACAAGATAGAGCTGATAATACATGTAGTTTTTGTTTTGGAAATAAATGAGTTTATTCAAATAAAATATTTATCCAAATAATATTATTCTTTGATTTACAACTGGAGTTAATGTTTTGATGGCCTAGTATTATCCAAACTACAACCTTTAATATTCCCACTTCTCTAGATGTATGAAGTTGGGGGAGGGAGCGGGAGGGAGAAGGGGTCAAGTTTGCATTAGGGGCCATAAAGAACTCGCATTGAATTAAAGGGGGCCACAATCAGAATAAGGTTGAGAAACAGTCATCTAGTGAACATAAAAGATTGCTCTTAATCTAGTGGGTTACATGAAAGATACTATTGGGCTTTTGATCTATCTGTTAATATGTAAATTTGACAGGAAACTATTTACAAATAATGGCTGTTCCAATAAGTTGGACTGATTTTAAATGTGAATTAAGTTTAAGCGTCTAATGATTTTATCTTTTTCTTTCAGATCTAACAATTTAAGTCTTTGGCAATTTCAATCATGGAAAGATTAACAATCAAACAACGTGTTAAAGTTATCGAAGGTTATTACGAAAATGGATGTTCAAACAGAAATGCAAGAGATGTTCCCAGGTCGCATCATCCCTCGAAACAGCGATTGGCCATCACGATCGTGCGACTTGACGCTTTTAGAATTCTTCTTTTGGTGTCATCTCAAAAGTAAGTTCTATGCCAACAAACCAACAACAATTCAACAGCTGAAGGATGAGATAATAAGGCATATTGGTGAGATCGAGGAGTAGCTATGCAGAGACATCATCAAAAATTTTGACCATCTTGTGGAGGTGTGCCGCTGAAACCTTGGCGGACATTTAGGCGATATTATTTTTCACACTTAATTGCCATGACTTAAATAACATGATCCAATAGAGAAAAAAATAAATTTCTCACCAATAACACTAATTTATTTACTGCTGAGTTAGATCCGTTTTAATGAAACACCCTTATATATAATCCGTCTTAATGAAACACCCTTTATATAGGTTCCTCCAAAAATTCGCTCACAAAATGGGCATACGTCTTTAACTTATTATGAAGAGGAAAGACCAAAGAACTTTTTAATTATTGATTTATATTTTTTTTATTTCTTTTTAGAATCTTTAAAATTTTAGTTAAAAATTTCGTTTTTCTTACGCCAGCGAGAGACCCTAAATTAGTATAGGAGATTTTAGCGTCTTTTTCCGATGAAAAACACATTGATTTGGAAATTCTTGCCAAAATCAATTAATTTTCGGATTCTAATAAAACTCTCAGAACTTATTTACAAATAAATGTCAATAAACTAGATCCGGCATCAAGGCTACTGATCGGGACATCAACTCATAATTGCTCTTGTTCCCATGCCCACCATAACCCGGGGTGGTAGCACCTGTTAGGGTCCTAACTACGGGCAAATATTGAACCCCAAAACACCAGGAAAGTATATCAATACATTTTTACATAAACTATACCAGCAATACATTTTTATATAAAAAATACCAGCAATACATTCTTATATAAAAAATACCAGCAATATATTTTATATAAAATTACCAGCAATACATTTTTATATAAAAAATACCAGCAATACATTTTTATATAAAAAATACCAGCAATATATTTTTATATTAAAAAAAATGAACAACGATGCATATTCAGATTAGAATTTTATAGCCCAATGTTCAACAATACATTCTGAAAGCATAATCAATGTTCAAAATATTTAGATTTTTACATTAAATAACCCATAGAGGTGTTGATATGCCGCTAAACAAAATCAACCAACCAAGTAAATGAATCAAATAATTTTAGAAACGTTAGGAGGCTTATACTTAACATCAGAAAGAGGCAACTG